GCTTGTCGCAAAGCTAGTTGATGAGGGTCTGCAGCTAGGCGCTGCCGTCTTTGCTGCTCTTGATGCAGCGGGGTCTAGGGCTTGCAACTTGGCTGATAGACCTCGAGTTACAGCTATTTGCTTTCCTAGATACGTTTTCTTTTTATAGTTGTCGGGCTTGCGGTTCTGCTGGGCTTGAGTCGACAGGCTATTTGGCGATGTTGTCCTGTTGCTGGCAACATCGGTCACGGTCGTGGGTGAATATATGCCTGTGCCCACAAACGCATGCGGAAATGGCACCACCATTATTAGCTATGGGTGACACGCATATTGCAATAACCCAAGCGAGCCGGGATTATCTGGTGCTTCTGATACCTACACCAAATACTGAAAGTGTATGACGCACGTCTTAGAACACGGCGGGCTGCCAACCAAACTAAACAAGCTACTGCGCAGGAATACTTTCAGGCTACGGCATCTAGTGCTTGAGATACCTACCTGGATTTAGGGAGACCATGTTGCTATGGGACTAACGGCAGCTCACGATGAAGAAGCGTCTTGAATGGAGATAGTTGTTGGCACATTGTTGCGTGCGAAATGTGATAAATAAAAGCTGGTGAGGAGAATGTATATACATCCTAGCTAGGTCCACACTGACTACTTTGCTTCGTTCTATTACACAAGCCCTACTTCTTTGTGAGCCGACCGTCCTATGACCTTTCCTACCCGTAAAGGCCCTTGCGTGACAGTATTATATAGTGGTGTTGGGTCTGTAGAAGGAGAGGATGAGAAGGACAGTGGCGCGGCCGGCGGAGAAGGCTGGTGGACGTGAAAAGACTGTTACTTAGCTTTTCACCGGCGAGCAAAAGGCGATTCGAAAGAATTAAACGGACCTGCGGCTGTTGTGTGCGGACGAAGTGAGGGTGTGGGCCCGAGTGACGGTCCTGCTTGCTGCTCGAGAGTTGATGGCGGTGCTTGTCTGCGTGTGTGATGAAGAAGACGAAAATATCTTGCCTGGCTAGCTTGACTTGGATTTGTATTCACCATGGGATCTTTTGAGAGACCATCGGAGTTAGCAGCGTTTCTCATATCGTGAGGACATGAAGGCCTGGGGAAGAGGTGTATGTATACTGAAATCAGGGAACCGGGACGGGTGTCGATCTTGTCGCGCGTCCAGGCGTTATTTTTCGTTTAGCTTCACACTTAAGCTCTGTCTGTGAAGGGAGGATGTCGAAGCTCAAAAGATCGGACGCTGGCGCCTACCTGGGAGAGAGTCAGCTAGCTGCAAAGGGATGGCTGGCTTCTCTTGGATCTTACCTTTGGTTGTAGGCAGTTGATTCTCGTTTTTAGGGTTAGCCCTAAGAAGCTATCACCATCCGAGTTGAGAACTGAGCCATCGTCAAAAACAGGCCATCTAACGGTCCTTGCGGCTCTTAGGTGACGACGATCCGCGCTTGCGTTTCCTGCCTTTCTCTGAAAGAGCGTGGACAATTTTTCTATTCGAATAATTGTTTGCGAGTCCGTCCAAGTTGTCCCAGTCGCTGTCGGCATGCTCAAAAGACCTTGGATAGAGTTGGACGGAAGGCCACACCTTGGCAACCGACTTGACTGGGTTCGAATGTCTCTCCGTGGAGTGTGAGAATGAATTCGGTCGGGAGGGCGGCTGGCTTTGGGAGCCGTCAAGAGTATCAAGTGTGGATTGACGTCGTCAGAAGTTCGTGATTTTGATTTGGGAGGCCTAAATGTGACAGGACGAGTGACAGGACGAGGGGCGGGGGGGTTTTACTGGTCTAGTGAAGCCGACGTAGAGGTGCTTCTGTTGGCGAAATGCGGGGACGAAAATCCTGACGGAGGCACGCAAGTACTGAAATCCAGCAAATTCGAGCACCACCAGGAAGTCTGAGGGGTTGTGTGAAGGCCGAATTCCTCGTAACGATGCAGCCGAGTTGAGTGGTGCCATGGTGAATGTGTAGAAGGAGGGCACTGAGACGAGGCTTTTCGAATCCACGAGAATGCGCGATGGAGCAAGAAGAGTGTGGCTTCGCGTGGAAACAGACTGAGCGAAATTCCAAGTGAGCGGCAGTGACGAAACTGGTTGTCCTGTTAAGAAACTACGTATGAACCGAAGAACGGGTAAATGGCGGTGATACGCCACATCTGTGGCGGTCGCCACTGGCACTCGCCACACGAAGCTATTCCAGCTTCACAACAGTGGCCATAGTAGTATATCTTATAGTAAGAAGCCTATATAAAAGAATATTATTACTAACTCTTTTATAGGCCTAATATAGTAGTAAATCTGTTTACTAGAATAGTAGTATTTACTTTTCTACTTAAGTATTTAGACTATCTTTTAAATACTAGTAATAAGGTTTTATTAATATTACTATCTATATAAAATAAATTATCTATATTATAGTATATAGGATAATATAAAAAGGGGCTAAAGTAAATTAATCTTTCTAACTAGAGATTAAAACTTATTATAAAGAAGATATAATATAAATAGCTATATAAAGTACCTAGAGAAAGGTTTTCTCTTTATTAATAATAATATTTATTATTTTATTTAGAATATTACTCTTATTTATATTTAATCTTAAATATTATTATAGCTTTACTATTATAGTGTTTTATAGTTAGATTAGCCTTTATATGTACTAGACCTTAACCTAGTTAAGTATATCTAGAAGCTAGTAAAGAATAAGTTAAAGAATATATACCTTAAAGTATTTAAGGTAAAGAATAATAAAGTAGATATAAAGTTATTTAAAGAGAAATTACAAGAGGTATAGTAGGTAGTACTATAAGATACTATTAGCTATCTTATAGAGTTAATACTATAGTGCTTATAAGCTATATAGTAGGCCTAGAGATAGTATATATAATACTAGTTAATAAATAATAATCTTTTAATTAACTATACTCCTACTAAATTATACCCCCAAGCTCCTGCTCTGTCCCCTATCGCGTCTTCTCTTCGACCGCTGACCGCAATTGAGTGCATCTATCGCTCTCTCTATGTCAGCTCAAGGCTAATTAGATCTCTACGCTCATGACCTTGCCTATTGCAATTTTCCGGCCGACGTAGACTCTCTATTTAGACACGATTGATACAAGACTGCCCTGCCGTGACTATGTCCTGCCTCGCCTCAGCTATTTAGTTTCCACAAGGCTAACCTGCGACTAGAGTGCCGCCTTGGAAGTTCCTTTATGTACGTGCTCCTGTAAACTAAAACCTATAGTCACATGCAAAAAGTCTAGGCCTACCCCCTTATTTCCCTCTAGCCTATATATCTACCCTATTACTTTTACTATAAATAGAACTATAAAATTAATAATATATATAGGGAGGAGCATAGATGCTGTGGCTTTTGTGGCTAGGTAAACGAGACTGAACAAGATTTAAAATCTCGTTCGGTCCCTAGACCCACTCTTCTTCTCTCCTCATCTTCTTGGTTTGGCCCTGCCTTCTTCAGCTTCCTCTGTCTTTTTGGTGAACACGACGGGCCTCTCACAGCTCCACGCGCCTTAAGCGACAAGTTCTACTAGGTTTTCATATGTTTGCTGGATTAAGTAAGTAGCTTATCTGGATTGAATGTCTTGTGTCGATGGCGTCATTATTGCCATCACCACCTCACCACCCTTATCATTGCTAAACAATGATTGCCTTCTGCGCCCTCTTATTTACACCTATTAATTGTATTACCTACCCCCTTACTTAAAGTCAAATTGTGGCAGGAGAATCCGGAACTGATGACTTGTAAGGATGCTTGCAATAGAGCCTGAGGGACCAAGAGCAGAGTGGCTAGAACAGCGGGGAATTAAGCCACGCTCATGTTGCCTGTTACCACAGAACGCCGGTAAGTACTTTTCCAACGTCGGAGTCCTATGTACTACTAGAACGAGATTGAGAGTCTCGTTCGGTCTCGCTCAGCTGGTACGTACGTGGTGGGCTGGGTACGTAGCCTCAACCTCATGTGCCGTGCATATTGATCAAAAAGGCGCCTGTTTCCATTAGGTTAAAGCAGTTACAGGGGCTGTGTCCACAAGTCAGTGGCACTACCAGGTCGACCTTGGCGGGATTTTTCCCCAACAAGGTCAAACATGTCGTTCTTTAGCCTTTCTAGATTTCAATAGCTGCGCCTTGTGCATTGCGTTCTTTCAGCGGCACAAATGTAGCAGCATCTGGTCGCGGTCGGCGGGAGTGGCGGATCTGAGCCTTGACCAAGAACTTATGAGGTCTCTTATCAGAGGGTTTGCGTCTGGGAATCTTCAATAGTCTTGATCAAGGCTTGCCTGCTGATGTGTGAACAAGACTGAACGAGACTTTAAATCTCGTTCGGTCCTTCCTGGTGTTGGCTCTGCCTCCCTCCACACCTTCCTTCCTTCCCAACTGGCCGACCGACCGCACTTACTTCCTCCTCAACCCATCATCAACTCTTCACCATTGCACACGATGCAGTACCATCATGGGCGTCCCCCGACTGGGCCGAACTTGCTCGCAACATACTCAAACAGAGAGACAGACCCATCTATTCCTTGACGTGTCGCGTTTAGACGCCCTCTCTCCAGATACAAACCAGCACAAATGGACGGAACACCAAAGAGGTCCATCCCACTATCCATTTGTCCACCAGCGCCCGTCACAACGCGCCAGACAACAACAGCACTCAGTGAGACGACGCCATTAACTCAATCACTTGAAAAAGCGCAGGTAGCCAACCAATCCATCCATCATTTTTACTACCCTTGCTCTGTTACATGCTTGTACAAATGCGGCTGACGTGCGCCATTCTTCACAACAGTATTGCTTGTTTGTTGCCGATCTCGGCTTCATCGACCGCACAAGTCAGCTTCCCAAGCTCAGCGCAGAGGTCGACGAGTCCCTCTCCCAGTTTAATCCTAAAACTGCGACTGACATCCGCCTCGCCTACGTTGCCGACACTACCAAGTTCCGCAAGACCCGCGAGATAGTGGAAAGAGGCTTGTCTACACCCGACAAAAGGCGCCTACGAAACATGGCCAAAGCCGAGAGCCGCCGTCGATGCACCGAGAACCTCTCCCAGTACCACGCTGAGCTTGACAGCCTCTGTGGAGGTCGCCGCTCTTGGCTGCCACAAAGTGTTGATATTGACGCACTCTCGTACGATACAGTGCTGGACCTCCGCAAGATAATCACGTGGTCAATCAAGCATGGAGAGCGACTAGACAGCCTTTGGGAACCCGGTGGACACCTGCACCGCGTCCATTACAAGAAGAAATCGCTCGACGCTGTGTGGAAGCGCCTTTCGCGACAACCCAGCGGCGCCAACTCTGACTATTCAAACATCAGCAACAAGAACCATCAACAAAACCAAGACCTCGAACCTTACCAAAAAAGCGCCCGAGACGGGGAGGAGGCAAACGGCTCAGACGGTGAGAGTGGCGGCGGCGCAGTGGAATTTGATGATCGGCCTGAGAACGGTGATTGGAACCCAGATTATGTCGATTCATCTTATGTGAGTACCTTTATCACTTCTTGTCCCGTCACACTGAAGCTGTTTTGATCTTTAATCGGCGGTTTGCTACAGGATCATGGCAGCGATGTAGATGCCGAGGAAGAACCCGTCGAACAAGCACGCAAAGCACGTAGAGCCCAAAGCGATGGCCGCAGTGTCTCCATGGAGCTAGACGACAGCTTCCCGTTCTCCCGCGTGAAGTTGAGCCCTCCCGAAAGCATCCGTAGCCCGGGTAACAACAGCCTTTTTATACCACACAGTCTCTCTACCGTGGAGGAGCAAAGTGCTCTTGCACCGGTCGAACCCCAGGAGAACAACCTCTTGCCAGAAGACGGGTCAATCGACGGCAAGGGACCTCTCGCTGCAGACACACCTCCGTCCCTCACCGCGCCTCGCTCTTTCGAGACGCCACCTTCGCCTTCCAGCCTGCCTTGCGATCCGCTTCCTGCAGCGGTTACCATCTCGAGGGGCTCTTCTGTCGGATTGAAGCGGCAGAGGTCAACGTCAGGCAAGGCTCGTTCGGCGTCTGAGCCGTCTGAAAAAGACAGGGAGGCAGCTTCCGAGAACTCCAACAAGAAGCTCGACTGTCCCAAACGGCCGCGTGTAGCAATTTCCCCCGAGCTGTTTGACCTGAGGGTGAGACATGGCTTCAATGCTCAATGCCTGGCGGACGGCCAGAACGTTGAAGGAACTGTTATCGCGGAAATCCTCGATACAGTTTGCGCGCTGTGTCCCTTATCGATGATGCTCCTAGACCCACTTGTATCTCACAAGAACATCATTCCCCAACGCTTGAGAGACGACTTCCTCGCCCAGAAAGACATGACTATTCTCTATCCGATAAACCTAACGTCCCGAGGCAAGCATTGGGTTCTGGTTTCGGCATCGGCAACTTCAGTCAGCATCTTTGATTCACTACCCAGTGCGATTGACCAGAACGAGTTGACTGACTTGCTACGCCCCGTTTTGTCTCTGGTTGGAGGAGCAACAGCCCCGCGCAACGTGGTTTGTCCGCGACAGTCAAACACGACGGATTGTGGTGTCGCCGTCATCGTCAACGCGTTGTACGTGATCGCCGGCCAAGATATCCCAGCAAAAACAAATTACTCGGTCTGGCGCCGCGTCCTTCTAACCTTCTGTGCAGGTGGGAACGCTGTCACGGATTTCCTGCCAGAGGACTCGGCACAGCACGTTGCCGTGAGCACCCACGACATGCCGCTTCCGCCAGCACTTCCCACGACAATGACCGAGGCTAGCTTCGCCTCGTGGGACGAAAAGAACCGGGAGTACCGTCAAAGGGTAATGGACCACGCGCGTGCACAGCTCGATGCAAGGCGGAGTCAACATCAACAGATGATGACGACGCTAGAAGACGTGGTTGTTGTCTTTGGGGCGCTCCGACGCTCGGGGTTTAGCAGCACGCAGGGCATGGATCAGATCCAAGAGGAGCTTGCAAACTGCCATTCCGCGCTGCAGAGTTTGGCAAGACTCCGCCGGACCGAGAACTCCATGATGGCCGACCTCAAAGCAAGATGCGCGCGACTCGCTGACGCACAACGCCGTCGGACAGGGACCCTAATGGAGCTGGCTAGGGTGATTGACGCGATGCCAAACCGTGAGGTACTTAACCATCACTTGGCAGCTTTGCGCCCGTGGGATGCGTTTGATACATAAGGACTGCTGGAGCATGGAGTACATAACAACACACAGATGGTGCATAAGCATCATGTTACAGTCAAGGAGCTTTGCCATTATTAGCTACAATTCGAATTAACTTAACTTGCCACGTATATTAGAAATTCCTGTGCACTGGTAGTGAGGGTGACGTCTTGAGTAGGCGCTTCGGTTGATTTTGACCCGGTCTACCATGTACATGTGCCTTTGAATGAAAACCCGCCAGGATCTCTGTGATGTCGGGCGTCTGGATGACATTCGGTTGATCGACCTTGGCAAGTGTGAGAGAAGGCCTCACCCGGAACTTCACACACGCACTTCTTGGCTGGCCGTGAAGCTCTCTCCCCAGGTGTTAGCAGTGGTGGTGGACACACAAACAAGACTTTTCTCACTTGCCTCACGTAATCAGCTGCAGAAATGTACCGCCATATGTGATACATTTATGACGGGCAAAACAGCGTGCCTTGGCTAAAAGCCAAGGCACTCTTTTACCATCAACTGCACATCTTCATCTTCCTCACTCAAACTTGGATTGGAAGTAGCTTCTTAGAATTCTGCCACAGTACTCCGTTTGATATTCCCACAGCAATTGACATTGACATGGCAAATCCGATCGCATCCGGCAAAGCTGTCTGCCCTCTCTCCACCGCCCATCTCCCCATCCCATCCAGCAGTCATCGCCCTCAGCCCACTTGTGCTGCCCAAATGCCTGTACAACAACTCCCACAAGCTGCTTAGGGTTAAGACAAAGTCGTCTCCATATCCATCATTGTTGTCCTGCTCCGTCTGACTCCTGTGTTGAACAGCCGCACGCGGTAAGCGTACCACACTACCAGACCTATGCCGCCACACTATCCATCACACAAGGCCTAATAAACGGATGGTTCTTCGCCTAAGTATTTGCGTCAATATGTCCGAAAAGGCAGATCAGATCAGTACGTAATACATACCTACCACTGGCGACGGCGTCTTTGTCTATATATGGGCTGGCCACACCGTGTTCACGGCTAGAGGTCACCAACGCGTCTCCCCTGGCTTGATCACCTCTTGTACGATCCATGACCATATGAAAGAACGCCTTCTCAAGTGCCAAAAAAGGCCCGCAATTGCGCCTGACTGGACCACCTTATCATCACCACTCGTCTGACGGCGGCCAAGACGCGTTGGTCCGAATCCAGTCGCATCCTCTCGGGCCAATAATCATCAATGTGAAGCGCCGCCAGATCATCGAGGGTTGAGCCCTCCTATGAACCAGCTGTACTCGTCCCTAAGCAAGGCGTCGAAAGAATGGCCGAGGTTTAGCAAGGGTTGTTTATTAATACCAACGCGGTATCCAAGCATCAGCCAGTATCTAGCCTCCCCCCCCTCTCCTGTGTACAGTCCACCTCGCCATGTCTTGTCCTAGTCTCTGCTTCGTCCTTTTACCAAGTCTACATAGCATCTTGCTGCCCTCCATCGTGCAGGCCGGAATTGGTGGCCGATTACGTTTCCGCGTCCGGAAATGTTGATACGCCGAATTTCCGACCAGAACCGCGCGCAAGTCAACAGCTTTTTCACGCTGACTGCACGAGAGCTGCCGGAAGCATCTCGCAAAATCAAATCAGACAAGAAAAAGGCTCTGTAAGCGACGCGGAACTCAGAGAGTTCCGCTTGAAGAGAGAAACTTTGATGGACGTTAGTTGGATTAAGAGTAAATGCACGTAAGTGAAATATAGAGGTTGCTGCTTAGTGGGCAGGTCAGAAGACATAAAGCACCAGTCTTTCGATTTTATACTATGTTTGTTGGATGTGTTTTGGGCGGGGGTAACTTTGTCGGTGTGTTATGTTTTGTTGGACCTGTTACTTTCCCGCTTCTGATCTGCTGCCTGCTCAGCAGCTGTGAATTCCCAGCTGCTGCGTGCACATTTAGCTAAAAGCGGGCCGGTTATTAATTAAGACGGGACGTTGCCTGTTCTTCACCTAAGAGCTTTGGGGACGCATCTGACTAGTCTCAGTATTGAATCCAAGTTTTAAGCCGAGAGACTATCAATTGCCGACGTCCATCTTCCGGCATTATAGAACTAGGTATTGATGGTGACTATCAGGGATGGAGTCTAGCGGGTCATGGAGCGGCAACATTGCCTAGATTACCCGGTCCTCCATGAAAAATGTTGGTATTGAGCCAGTGGCCGTGTCTGGAACTCTCAAGGACAGTCAGTTTTATAATTCCACTCGTGTGGATAATCATATTTTCCGAAACAAAGGCAACAGACCTTCCATGGCTAAGAGTACAAGACTGACACCGGGCCATAAGCCATCGGTGATTGGAGTATCAAGAGATCGTTCTCGGCTGAATCCAAGGTAAGAAAGACAGCGTTGTTTGATGTTAGATGTTAGAGATGGATCGAAGTGTGTGTCCTAGTCTCACTGGCATCACATCTTCCTATGATCACCTTTTGCAATCGCAGTCAAGTCAAGAGGACCCAGCCTGGCTGGTATTACTGGTGTAAAAGACGCTCATATTTGTTTCGTGAAACTTGTGCACGTATACGTTGTCCCATGTCCTGCCCGAGCGCTGGTTCTGGGGTCGTCTGAGCTGCAGATAACGACATGCTACAATGGGCAATTCCAGGGTTGTCTCGACGGCCTCATACGCCGCTGGGTAGTACGGACACGTTCCCCAGTCCCTGCCTTATCCGCATATCGACTTGCTACTGGCCGCCAGCCCTCTCTTAATTTCGTTACGCGACTTCCGGTGGTTGTTCAAGGTGTGATATGGTTTGTGACGTTGCACCAAGGCTCGAGAACAGCGGCGGTGATCTGATAATAAAATCTGACTGTAGATTGGTGCGATTGCTATCGAGATGGCGTATGGGTGGCTGTGTATGTCTAGCTGGTAATGGATCAGAGCGCTGGCAAGACAGGGGATGTCAGAGACTGGTGGTGCTATAGTAAATTACTTACCCGAAGAAGATGATTCTTTTCCTTTCAATCTCCTTCTTGCTTAAGAGTTACTGGGAAGGTCAACAATGGCCGGGAGCGTTAGCGTATTGGAGACGGTAAGGAGTCTGTTAAAGGACGCCAGAACATCAGCAGGGGTGAGAAATATGTGGCTTGGTTGTTCTGGTTATTGTATATATGCTGTTTATTAAAAGATAAAGTTCTTTTGGAAACAGTGTCTCCGTTCGAGTCTGACGCCGTTGATGGTTGGGGAAAGACAATTTGCGTTGCTCAAATAGTGTAGAAAATTAATCCGGGTCGTCTAGAGGTTTAGTTTGGTCTCCTGAGATAGTAGTATCAGTGACTGACTGTTGTGGAATAACACTGTGGCTGACCCATACGGCAGTGCCCGCCAGCTGCTGATCACGAGATCTTAGGCTGAACGAGATTTCAAGTCTCGTTCAGTCTCGTTCTGCCCCGCCACCGGCGATACATACATACATACATACATACATACATACATAGTACCTGCCGTCCTAGGTAGCTAGTTGTTGACCAGGACAGGCGCAGCTGTCGACAACTCGAATTCTCATCGCCTTCTTCCAGCGTGTCATACAGAAAAAAAAGGCACCTACCTTCGCTAACAACGCCAACCGCCAACCGCCGACTACTACCCCAACCTGTGGCCTATTTGTGGTGCATTCTTTGTCCAAGAAGCACGCCAGCCGCAATAGTCTTACCCTGGCCGTAGACTTGGAGCATAACAGACACAATCCGTCAGGAGAAACCATCCGCAGGGCTTCTGCACCGTGCCCAAGCCTTCGTGTCCCGCTAGGGCATCACGGTTTCCATCTCCCGGTTCCTCTTCGGCCGTGAGGTCACCTCATCACAGCACAACTCCCATATCGTATTTTACAGTAGACAGCTCCCATCATGTGTTGCTGACACTTCGCCTAGATTCTACTGTCCAGCCTACCAAATCAAACCCCAATAATAGCAGCAAAAAAATCGGAAAATAGAGGCGAACCTCCCAGTAACGACGAAAACGATAATACTGATTGATAGTAACGGTAACGAGATTTACTATCAAATACAACTTTCCAAAGACAAGGCTTCCGGTGCCTCTGGAGGCGAAAGATGGCCATGCTCAAGTCTTGCAATACTCTCGTCTTCTTCTCTACGAAACCCCTCGGGTGCAATCCAGGCCAGCCAACGTCAAAAATTATCGCCTTTGCTATTGTTAGTATATATGAGTGGTGTGTCCCTCTACTGATACCCTGCTATTTCCACAATCATTCTATGATTGAGTACTGCAACAATCGCAAAGGGGCTGGCTGGCTCTGATCCCAGCCCAAGACCTTCTCCTCCGCCCTCCGCCCTCATGACCTCCCCATCTTCTCGGTTCACACTCCTACTACCAAGGTTACGTCATGCAAGACTAACATTCATTACGTTTAGTTATTCACACAAGG